ACTGGACTGTGAACCACAAGGTCAGCTGTCCAAATCCATCAGCTGCTTCTCAGAAACCCTACACAGGGTTGCTATGAGTCAGAACTGACTCGATGGCACTTAACAACAACAAATATGTTGGGAGGAGAATGAGGCAGGACTGGTGGTATAAAGTTTTCTGTGTTGTCTAAATGGCTAACTGTTATATTCATGCATTACTTGTCATTTTTTAATGTGGTATTTCTTGTTTTGTTTTGTTTTGTTTTTAATAGCAAAAGCAGAAATGAGCTTTCATTGGGCTACAGAGTAGGAAACAGGGGACTTACCATGAACTAGCGGTGGTTATGTATCGTGGAGTCGGTTCCCACTCATAGTGACCCTGTACAGGGTTTCCGAGGCTATAAATCTTTATAGGAGCAGAACGCCTCATCTTTCTTCCACGGAAGATTGCAGCCCGATTCGTAAGCATTACACTAGTCCTAGTAGCGTAGTGGTTACAAATCGGGTTGTGCATCGCAAGGTCAGCAGTTTGAAACTACCAGTGGTTCCGCGGGAGAAAGATGAGGCGTTCTGCTCCCATAAAGATTTATAGCCTTGGAAACCCTGTACAGGGTCACTATGAGTGGGAACCGACTCCATGGTATTTAACAACAACAACAACACTAGTCCTGGTGTGGCGCTGTGGGTTAATGCGCCAGACTGCAAAGCCGTTTGAACTGCAAAGTCAGTGGTTCAAGCTCACCAGCTGCTCCTTGGAAGCCCATTACTTGGTCGCTATAGGTCGGAACCAACTTGACGGCACTTAACAACAACAACCATGAACTAGCTTCAGCCCCTAAAGATGCCCTTCCCTGTCTCATTGCTGCAGATCATGGGGCAATCTCTTATAGCAACTTGGAAGAGGAAGATGTTTGGTGGTCTCCAGTTGCCTGTTTAGTTCCAAAGGACTCCTAGAGTGGACCCAGTTACCAGCATGGCCCTGCAGTCAAGAAAAATATTCAATTGATATGAAAAAGGGGGAGGAGGAAAATCAGGCTTCTCCAACTAGAGGCTTTGGACTTCCAAGTTCAGGAATGACTACATAGTTCTCTTTTGGAAGTCATTACTTCATGATGCAAACTTAACCCCAACTTTAAATTAAAAATAACGTTTCTTACCAAATCACTTACATCATCCTTTCTAATTCTAAGGTTATTTTATATATGAAAATGTTGAGGACCAAAGATGGAAAGTGACTTATCCCAGAATAGTCAACACAGAGGTAAAAACCTGCCTTCAGAATCTTAACCAATGTTTGTTTATCCATTAAACCACACAGCCCTATTTCAAACCTATCATTTACTTTTCAACCTCAATCTTGATCCCAATCCCAGGACAAACCCACACTAGGTTCAGGAGCTTCTGACCTTAGCTCATTGGAAAAGGCTGGCCTTTATTTATTTATTTTATTTTTTGGTCCCTCCTTGCTTCATCCACTCAACGTATCACCCAGAAATCCCTCTCTTGACCATAATCATGAATGGGAGGGAAGGAATAGCATTTGATCCCTAGTCTGAAGGCTGATTAGCTCTTTTCTGCACCATTGCAATAGATGCCCTTCGATGGGAGGACTTGGGGGTTAATGTCAAGTTAATGGGTCACCTTCCCATTCCTTCTGGATATCTGGCTACAGCAACCTCCTGGCCCAGCCATGGAGGAAGACAATAGGTTATCAGTGGCCACAATTCCAAAGTCTGAGACCCTGAGATGAAGATTTTAAAAGAAAGAGATGAGGAAAGATACTCTGTGTGGAGAACAAACTTAATAATCAGCAACCTTGGACAATAACAGCAGCTGAGTCCAAGGGTCAGTGTCTGGTAGTAATTTAGGAAAGTTCAGTGCTGACAGCTGTGTCTGGGGGTTGAACTTGTTGGCCATCCCAGTTCCTGGACTCCTTCAATGCTCCAGACTAATGAAACCCAGACCCAGGACACAAAGGCAGCTGTGATACAGCAGAAGCCAGCACCCCTTGAGCCCCAGGTTCAGCCTTGCTGCTTCCTAGCAGTGTGACCCTAGGCAAATCATTTCGGAAAGGAAGAAAAAACACTAGCATCTGATGAGTTAATGCAACCCCTTTTCACATATTTCCTCCTCATTACAGTTTGGTTTGAAATCCCCGTGGCATAGCTTCCAGCATCACAGCGACATGAAAGACACCACAGTATGTATGACAAGCACAGCCAGAATGTTCCTTAGAAGCAAAGATGGCAAGACTTCATCTCACATACTTTGAACATACAATCAGCAGGACCAGTCCCTGGAGAAGAACATCATGCTTGGTAACGTAGAGGGTCAGTGGAAAAGAGAAAGACTTTCAATAAGATGGATTAACACAGTGACTACAATGGGATCAAACATGACAACAATTGTAAGGATGGCACAGGACCAGGCAGTGTTTCATTCTGTGGTTCACAGGGTCTCCAAAATGTGCAACTGACTCAGTGGCTTCTAACAACCACAGTTTATTTTACATGAGAGGAACCTGAGAATCAGTAGATAAAATTCATCAAAGTGATTGATCTGGGAAGTAAGGCAGGATTAGGACCTAGAGCTTCTGTACTCAAGTTTTGTACTCTTTCCCAGAACTTTAGTTTCATCCTCTAAAATGGTGATAATACTATGCACCTTCGTAAATGAGGTCTAGAGTCCTGGTGTGGCTCTGTTGGATAAGCACTGGACTGCTAATCACAAGGTGAGCCGCTCAAACCCCCAGTTGCTCCTTGGAAACCCTATACATAGGCATGGTCGTTATCAGTGGGAACTGACTCAATGGTACTGAACAACAGCCCTCCCCCACTTCTTTCTCATAACCTTTGTCTTGCAGAGTTGTGGACACCTTTCGGGAATGTAGCAATCTTACTTTTGTCCTTTGCACCCCTCAACCCAGTTTGTGAGTCTAGGCCCCTGGAGATACCCTGAAGGGAGGGTATTTGGACTTAGGAGTCCACTCTCCCCAGGCCTTCACACCATTCAGGATGTCGGCCTGACATCAGCGGGTGTGCCCAAGAAAAAGCAATTCTGAGCTGCGGACCCGGCTCCCTCACGACCCAGGTCACCCCTGCGACGGCCAGAGGCCCTCCCAATTCCTAACCCCCTTCCTCTTTTTCAGGTATTCAGGAGCAGCTCCTGCCCCCGCTTTCACTGGCCCGGAACGAAATGGGGCGACGAGTCAGGGGAGTAGATGCTGGCAGATCCCCGGTGAGTCTGGGGCTTCACTCCGAAGAGCCCAGAAAATGGGTACCGGTTCTGGAATTTCGAGGGGAGCTGTCCAGCCCTGCAGGGTGAGGAGGAGGGAGCGCGGGCGCCAACCCCGCCCCCCACGTGGCCGCGGCCGTCCCAGCCCCTCCGAGGAAGCGGCGCGGCTTCCTGCGGCTCGGGCCGGGGATATATGCGCCCCCGCCCGGGCCGGTCCAGCCGCCGCTCCTCGCCGCCTCTTCTCCTCTGGGTGCAATGGCCTCGCTCCGCGCGGAGCGCGCCTCCGGTGGCCCGCTCTTCCTTGGGACCCGTGCTGGGCGGCCAGCTGCGCTCCGCCTCCTCCTCCTGCTGGGCGGTGAGCGCGCGCCCCGGGCCGGGCCGGGCCGGGCCGGGAGGCCTCGAAGGGTGGGGGGCTGGACGGCCTAAGACAGAACGGGCCCCGGGGGCCGGACAGACACACGGACTCCTGCGATAGTCCCTGGCTCCTCGGCTTGAGTGCAGCGCGAGTGATTTCCCCCTTGGAGAAAGCTGGGGTGCCAAGGGCCCCGTGGGGAGGCCTTGAGAGGTGTGGGACTGGGGTTTTGGTGGCCTTGATATGAGTGGAAAAGAGATGGGGACTGGCCTCTTTCTTCCTGGGCACCGAGGTATCCCTGGGGACCCGGATTAGTTTTTGTCTTCTAAGAGTAGCCATGACTTCCCAGGGCCTCATCCTCTAACCCCTCCCCCTTTGCCCAGATTCCCCACCATCTCACCCCCGTTTCCCATTTCTGCCCACAGCTGTCCTGAAACCCCAGCAGTCCCTGGCACAGCCTCTAACCACCCCAGGCAGCTTCAAGTCAGAAGGTGGGTGCTCAGATTCAGGACTGTGGCCTAGGGCAAGGAAGAGAGTGGAAAGGATTTCTTTCGATCCTTTCCTCCAGGACAGGTCCCAACCCCAACTGGTACCCCACTAAACTCCTTTCCGTTCTCTTGGGGTTCCTTGTGGTTTTTCTCTCTTTCACCCCACAAAGTCTCTGACCCAGCCACCTCACAGAAAGTGAGAAGAACCTCATGAAAAGGTGTGTGGTGTGTGTGGAAGCTTTAGTCAGGTGGGAAATAGTACACATATTGTTGTTAAGTACCGTGGAGTCTGTTCCGACTCATAGTGACACTACACAGGGTTTCCAAGGCTGTAAATCTTTGGAAGGTATTAAATGATTCCTGAGCCTGGACTGTCTCCTCAGCTGGAAGTATCCTGCTTGGGAAAATTTCAGAGATTGTCCTGAGTTAGAGTTGAGGGGCCAGAGGAGGTGGGAGGAGGGCAAGGTAGGGGGGTGGTCATTGTGCAGCTTTTGTGCCCATAGGGAAGATGGTGCAGAAGTATGAGGAAAATGTCCAATCTTGCTGGCTAAACTATGAGAAGCTTATGGATCCTCTTGAAAAGGATTGGTGTGACTGGATCATGATTCGCAGGTAGGAGCACTGCTGGAGGGGTCTTGCATGGGGGGGGGCCAGCTTCCTGCTTTACTCCTTCAGATGGGCCTGGAGTGAGGATGGGGCACACCTCTCTCTAGGCTTAACCCTTCTCTCACCAGATTTCTCTCCTACCCCAGGCCTTATAGCATCCTTCAAGATTGCTTGGAGCACTTTGCTGAGGATTGTGGCTTGGAGTTCCCTAATCCCTGGGCAGAAAGGGTCATCTTCAAGACTCACCAGATGCACTTTGCCAACTGCTCCCTGCTTCAGTCCACCTTCTACGATCCCCCCGAGGATGTGCTCCTGGCCATGATCATAGCTCCCATCTGCCTAATCCCCTTCCTTGTCACCCTTGTGGTGTGGCGGAGTAAAGGCAGTGAGGCCCAGTCCTAGGGTCCACAAACTTCTCAGTGCTCATCTTGCTCCTTTCCCCTACCTCCACTACCCCACCGCAGACCTTCAGGTCTCTTCCCTTTTTCTCCCCGCTCTACCCGCGTCTCTCACTCTCACCCCAACCCCAGGTCCCGGAATTGGTGGAAATGGAAGCTGGGTGGGTCATGGAACGAGCTCTGTAATGTAATCTTCAAAATAAATTTTTTTTGTGTGTGTGTGTGTGTATATGGTCCCCTTCCCCATTCCAGTGGAACCTGTGTCCTTCCCCAGAGTCCTGGCCACTCCCACAGGCCTTCAGTTCTGGGCAGTAGAGCTAGAAAAATCTAGCTTCTGCTGGATGGCCCGATCCCTTGGATGGCCCCACTGCTCTTTTCACCTGCTCCTCCCCTCCACTGCCCCCTCCCACCTGAAGCCACACCCCTAGGCTCCTTCCTCTCAGGGTGGGGCCTTTCCTGCCCTTATCCAAACCCAGCTCCAGGAAATGTGCAGGAAAAGACTCCCTTCCGGTCTGGACAGCAGCTGGGGGCTTGCAATTGGGGAGATGTTGGGGGAGGGGCGAAATCTATGCTGTGACTCCTGCCAGAAGGAAAGGGAGGGTTACCCAGGTATTCTGACTTCTCCCCTTCAAGCCTTAGTTTACTCCTGAGGTCTGACTGGAAACGCTGACCTGACCAACAGGAGTCCACCCCTAAACATTTTAGGACTGAGGACCCAGGCTCTTCCTCTCCTAGTTTGATCTGGGAACTCAGATCCCTGGCCCTCGTCCTACATTGTCCTGGCCCTGGGGTGGGGCTTACAGCCTGGCTGCACACTGCCCTCTGGTGTCCACTAAAGCCAACAACCTGAAGATGAATGTAACCTGGAAGAAGCTCATTGCATTCTAGGGTGAGAGGCCTGTCATCTCTTTAGCACCCACTTCTTTTCCACCCTTTCCCGCCCCCAGGTCTGTGGTTCAAACTCACCAGCCGCTTCATGGAAACCCTATACAGGGTCGCTATGAGTCGGAATCGACATGATGGTGGTTAACAACAACAACATACCCCCTAAAGATAACTGGTATATCTAGACCCTTTCTGCAACCCTCCATTTCTGTCTACAGGCATGTTTATACATATAGTCCAAGGAGCCCTGGTGGCTCAACGGCTTAAATGCTCCATTGCTAACTGAAAGGTCTGTTGTTGGAAATCACCAGCTGCTCCAAGGAAGAAAAAGATCAAGTGATCTGCCCCTATAAGATTGTTGTTGTTAAGTGCTGTCAAGTCGGTTTTGGTTCATAGTGACCCTGTACAGGGTTTCTGAGGAGTGGCTGGTGGGTTTGAAACATCAACTTTGGGGTTAGTAGTTCAGTGCTTATCATCCTACAGCACCACACCAGGACTCCCCTGTAAAGATTATGACCTTGGCAACCCTGTAGGGCAGTTCTACTCTGTCCTACAGACAAAAGCAACAGCACATATGGCTGGGTGATACAAATAATTAAAACACTTAGCTACTAACTGAGTTCTGGTAGCGTAGCGGTTACGAATCGGGCTGTGAACCTTAAGGTCAGCGGCTCGAAACCACCAGCTGCTCCGCGGGAGAAAGATGAAGTTTTCTACTCCTGTAAAGATTTACACCCTCGGAAACCCTGTACAGGGTCGCTATGGGTCGGAACCGACTCGACGGCACTTAACAACAACAACTAACTGAAATGTTGGAGGTTTGACCTCCCCCTCCCCCGGAGACACCTCAAAAGAAAAACCGGGCCATATACTTCTAAAAAAATAGCCACTGAAAACCCTGTAGCGTACAGCACTATTCTGACACACGTGGGGTCACCATGTGTCAGAACTGACCCATTGGTAACAGGTTATATGTTCTCTTGAGTATATGCACATCTGTTTCCTAGGAAATACCTCTTTATTACAGACTTACATGCTTGGATGCTTTCTGAAACATTTCTATTCATTCTCTGAGACACACTTCTTTCAAGACACATCTGTCTCTCTAGAGATATACACCTGTTCCCTGGGACATTTGTAGATTTCCTAGGATGCAAACCTTTGCTTTCATTTCCATGAGTTTATCTATCTTACCCAAGGACATATCTATTCTCTTCTTGGCACATTTTTGCCTTCATGCATTTTACTAATATATACATCAAGGGCCCTGTTGGTATAATGTACTATGTGGTATCTTTTGTCAGAAAGATACAAAGACAAGGCCTAGTTTCTGCCATCAAGAGCTTTCATCTAATAGGGGAGCTAACATGTGCACAAATAAACAGAAACAAAACAATGGAATGTGTGGTGAGTGTGAAGGAAGGAGGGGGTCTCATACACGGGTGATTATAAAAGGTGTGATCACAGGAGGGTGGTTGTGCAGTTTTCACATGACTACTGTGTCACGTGAGTACTAGGCCTTAGATAGAGTGAATTATTATAAGGAGAGTAGAAAAGGAGATGGATTATGAACTTGCAATAAATCAGGCTTGAGAAAATGAGACATGAACCAGTGGAGTAGTGGATGAAGGGAAAAAATGGAATTAAGAAGCCAGATAAATGATTAAAAAGCAGGGCGAGAGAGAGATCAGCAGGACTTGGATATGAGAGGGTGAAGAAGCAGGGGAGGGGGAGGGTTTAAGACGGACTCAGGCTTTGAATCAAGCTACTCGGAAAATGATGACAGTAATAATAGAAAGGGACCATAAGGATAAGAAGCTGGCCTGAAAAGAAGTTAGCAGTGGAACATTCAAGTTCTTTCAAAATACAGAAAGTTAAAAATGGGGGTTGGTGAGGAAAGAGACCAGAGCTGTAAATATAGGTTTGGAAGAAGAAGGTTAGGAAATATGCACATATATTGAATGGTTTAGAAAAAAAAAAAAAAAGAGATGGAGAGAAAGATCAGAGAAGTGGCAAGAAAAGGATAAAGCAATGCCAACAAGGCAAAGGAGGTAGTGACCTTTGAGAAAGCATTATCAATTTATCAACTGAATTGTCCACTCATTCATTCAACAAATAATTGTTGGGCACTTCTATGGGCTAGGAACCGTGCACAATGAAGGGCAGAATTGTATGGTGGAAAGTTTAGAAATCAGACAGGAAGTTGAATAAGTGGCAAGGTCTAGGAAACTGGACGTCTTTTCAAATAGGGAACATCTGAGCATGCTTATATATTAGAGGAGTGGAACTAGGGAAAAGAGAGATAGAGAAGATGACAGAGAGAGAAGTCCTGGAGGGATTGGAAATAAGAGGCTCAGAAGATATGCCAGGAAAGAAACAAATAAAAGTAATAATGAGACCCTTGACACATTGTGAAGAAAGTAACCAATGTCACTGAACAATTTGTATAGATATTGTTGAATGAAACTTCTGTGTAAACCTTCACAAACACAATAAAATATTATTTTTAAGTTTTAAAATAATTTTAAAACAGAAAAATGAACTCAGTGCAGAAAATTATGTAGAACAAAGATACCAGCAGCACCACAAAAATCACACAGCAAAATGACAACAATCAGTTCATAGCTATCAATAATTACACGGACTGTTCCGTAAGTGATCAAACGCATCAGTCAAGAGACAGAGAGCAGAAGAATGGATAAGAAAACAGGATTCTGTTATATAAGGTCTACAAGAGACACATCAAAAAAAAAAGATAGACAGCCTAAAATGCTCATTGACAGAAAAATGGTTAAGCAAACTTTGGTACATACACACAATGGTATACTATGCAACTTTGAAGAAAACGGTGAATCTGCAAAACACCTCAGAACATGGATGAATCTGGAGATCATTTTGCTGAGTGAAGTTAGTCAATCACAGAAGAACAAATACTGTATGAGACCACTGTTGTAAAAAGTTAAAAAGTTTTCTTGATTAAATTAAAAAAAAAAATCCTCACCATGATCATTACAGGGGTGGGGTTAGGGAGAAAGACAATTATCCATAGATTAGAAGGTTGTTTTCATGGTTGTTAAGTGTCATCAAGTTGGTACTGACCCATAGTGACCCTGTATAGGGTTTCCAAGGAGCAGCTGGTGAGCTTAAACCATCGACCTTTCAGTTCAAAGGACTTTGCAGTCTAGCACATTAATCCACAGTGCCACACCAGGCCTCCATATTAGAGGGTGGTGGTGGTGGTGGTTATGTGCCCTGGAGTCGGTTCCGACTCATAGTGATCCTGTACAGGGTTTCCGAGGCTATAAATCTTTACAGGAGCAGAAAGCCTCATCTTTCTCCCACAGAACAGCTGGTAGTTTCGAACTGCTGACCTTGCGGTTCGCAGCTCAATTCGAAACCACTACACTACCAGAGCTCCAAGGTAGACGCATGTTAACATGGGTAATGTACAACAAAGGGAAATAGGCAGAGGAAAGATGAAAGTAGCAGGAGACCCTGGGAGGAATGCAAGGGTTAAAGTTATTGTTGTTAGTGTAGTCCAGTCGGTTCTGAATCACAGTGATCCTGTATAGGATTTCAGAGGAGCAGCTGGTGAGCTTGAACCACCAACCTTGTTTATCAAACTGACCTTGCAGTTCAGCACATTAACTGAGAGTGCCACACTGAGGTGAATACTGTTAACTGATTGTACATGGAGGGGATTGCAATCATTGTAATGAAGTGAAGTATATGATTCCTTGAATGTAAACCTGATGAGCTCCTCTGTAAATTCACAATAAAAAGTCTTTGTTTGTTTTTTAAAAAGAAGATATGCCAAAGAATTGGCCATGAAAAGGAAGAGTGGTACTTTTCTGTGAGTCCAAAAGGAAGGAGTAATAAGAATGGAGAAGAATTTTTGAATGATGAGTCAAGTGTAGTTAACAGGCAGAGAGGGTAGATTCACGGGTTCACATGTATGACCTCAGTCTCATAAAATGGGAGGGAAAAGTATTTTGCAGAGAGGGAAGACTTGGGGACACGGAGTGTGGCTTTGATGAGTTTGGAAAAGTTTGAACATCTGTCTGAATTATGTGACAGGAGTCAGTAGAAGGCACAGGGTCATTGGGCTGCACTCAGAGTTCAGCAGTGAGGTTATCAGGGAATCTGGGGCTTAGCCAACAATTTCTTATGAGGTTTTGTTATTGTTGTTAACTCTTTATTGTGAATTGAGTAAAGGTTTACAGAGCAGATCATTAGTTTTACATTCAACAAATTAGATACTTCATTTCATAACAATGATGGCAATCCAGTTCATGTACCATCAGTGAATGGTATTTACCTCCATTCACTTTAACTCTTGCATTCTTTTCAGTGCCTTCCACTACCTTCATCTTTCCTCTACCAAACTCCCTCTTGTATATTGCCTTCTTTGTCACCCAAATTAACATGTGACACATGTTAATCTGGTGGGGTTTTTTTCTTCTCAGTAGTACTTCAGAGCAGGGCGTCTTTTTATTATTATTATTATTTTAAGATTGAGGTAGGGGAGCAAGTAAGAACAAGCCCAGGTAAAAAGTACAATAAAACCAAAAGGATGCTAGGATTTGAGACTAGGATGGTGAGGTCATGGGTGAGGCAAGAAATATACAAAAGGCCTTGGAAAATGGAATTAAAAGATAATGGGATTTTTCCCACAAACTTTTTGAAGCCCCCTCATATAGTTGTGGTCAAAGATGGCAGCTCTGAATGATGGAAGAAGCCCATTTCTAACAATACAAGCTACAAGATATGCTCTCAAGGGTGCCATGAGAGAAATTATGGAGCCAAAGGACGTAGAAATTGAGACTGAGGAATTGTGAAATGTTTAAATGTTAAATGATATGAAATCAGTGGGATAAAAATGATCAGAATCAGTCCCGTACTGAGAGCCACCTGCCCCTTCCTTCTCCCTCTCACACATATATACCTGCAACTCCCCAACAGGATATAATTTGGCATTTTCTGGATATTGGAGGGTTGGGGCAGGGGTGGAACGTAGTACTTAAAAAAAGTCTGCCATATATTAAAAAAGACTGGGCTTACCGGTCAGAGACTGGAGGACCCTGAGGCTATGGCTCTTGGCCACCCTTCAGGTCTGAAAAAGAACTCATCCTTGTGGTCCAATTTTCAGACAGGTAATAGGTATTGATTGGGGGGGGGAGGGGGTGACGGGACAACACTAGTAAGGTAAGCTCACCATGGAATGAATGGTCAACCATTCAAGATCAAAACGGCGGCAACATATACCTGAGGATAAAGTTCAGAAGTGTTGGAAGAGAGGGTAGAAGAGAAATAAGAATCACAGGGAAGCTGCAACTGTTGTTACATTGAGGGGATTACAATCGAGATAAAACTAAGTGTATGATTTTTTAAATGTAAAACTGATGATCTGCTCTGTAAACCTTTACTCAATTCACAATAAAATTTCAAAAAACAAAAAATAAACCTAGGCTGGGGCTTGGAGACCTGAGTTTCACCTGCAATTCTAACAAACTGTGACGTCTTGGGGAAGTCAGTGCCATTCTCTGGACTTGGACCAGAAGACTTCTTAGAGTCCTTCCTATAAAAGGTTAAAATTTTTAGGACAGAATAGCAGGGCCAGGTTTCACTCGCGTCCAGTAGCCCCTCTCCGGCGAGACGATCGGAACTTTTGTGTTGTGGTTTCTGCCCGGACGTACCCAAAAGGACACCGGAAATTCTTACCGGGAGGTTCCGGGTTCCCTGGACTACTACGATGGCGATGAGTTTCGAGTGGCCGTGGCAGTATCGCTTCCCGCCCTTCTTTACGTGAGGCTTAGTCCCCGAGAAGCCGCGCTGCGCCTCCCTTTCCCACCTTGAGTGTGGCCCTGCTGCTTCACATGGGATGGGGGTGAAAGGACCCGGCCGCCACTACCCTCAGCCCCCTTTTTCCTCTCCCGAACGTGCCCGGACCATTGCTGCCTCACGCCTCCTCTAATTCTGGCCTCACCCTTCACCCGGCAGGTTACAGCCGAACGTGGACACGCGGCAGAAGCAGCTGGCCGCCTGGTGCTCGCTTGTCCTGTCCTTCTGCCGCCTGCACAAGCAGTCCAGCATGACGGTGATGGAAGCTCAGGAGAGCCCGCTCTTTAACAACGTCAAGTTACAGCGTATCCTCCCTCAGGCTTTCCCACAGCCCACACACATGCACTTCCCGCAAGCTCAGACTTCAACCCTTGCCCCTTTATCCAGGCAGATCCCCACCCAAACTTTAAATGCAGTAGGAAACCTTAGGGTCAGTCTCTTGTTCTATGCAGTGATGACTGTCCAAATGTCATGAAGCTGAGTTGCAACCTTCTCAAACTGAGCTCTTTTGGTAATTGCATGCCCTATCCTATCTTCTCTGAGGCCCTTTACCTCTTACCACTTTTAATAACTTTCTCATCCACTCCATCCCCCAGCCAGGAAGTACTGGTCATTTATTTTTGCTGTCTGATTCAGCTCTAAAATATCTAAAGGGAAAGGACAGAGGAAGAGGAATGGTAACAATTTTAATTTTCAAAAGCCCTAACTTTGTATTGGAAGACTTCTCTTCCACTCCCCAATATCTAGAAAATGCCAGTTTATCTTATTGGGAAGTTACAGGTTTATGTGTGTGTGGTGGGAGAAGAATAAGGGGGCATATGGTTTTCACATGGGGCTGGTTCTGAGAATTTTTATCCCACCCAATTTATGTCATTTATATCAGTTATAAGAATTATATCATTCACTTAACCTTAAACCAGGAAAGCTCCCTGTGGAATCAATCCAGGTTGTATTAGAGGAACTGAGGAAGAAAGGTGGGTTCAGTTCCCCAGATTCCGTTTTAATCTCCTAGCTAAGTTTTTTTAAGGGCAAATCAGGACAAGTCTTTCCCTTTTAACAGATTTTTTCTGTCTCCCTGGCTAGTAGCCCAGAGTGTTCTGTATAGTAAATGGTCCAATTCCCTAAGTCCTTTCCTCCCATTTATATAACAAAATTAAAATTTTCAATCTGTGCCTTAAGACCTGAAGAGAGGTAGCAGAAAGAAGAGGGTTACCTTGTGTATAGTAATAGTAAAACAAATGTTGAATCTCTGCAAACTGGTTTTCCCCTTGCCTCTTAGAGTGTGATGTTTTCATAAATATCTGTTTTACAGGGAACCTTGAGTGGTTGGATAAGAACAAGTCTAGCTTCCTGATCATGTGGCGGAGGCCAGAAGAATGGGGGAAACTCATCTATCAGTGGGTGAGACCACCCTGCCACCAAGACTCAGCAATGGCCATGACAAATGAGAATTACACAAGGGGGGCTTCAAAAGTTTATGGGAAAATCCCATCCTCTTTTTTTTTAAACCTTTTAATGTGAATTGAGTGAAGGTTTACAGAGCAGATCATCAATTTTACATTTAACAAATGATACATTTTTTGTCATCTCGATTGCAGTCCCCTCAATGTGACGTCACTTATGCCACGTTCTTCCTGTATTCCTTCTTTCCCAGTCCTTCTTTGTCCTTGGGCAAATATTACCCTTTTGATCTCCAATGGTTGACCATTCTGTCGTGTGCATACCTCAATGGTGGTGTTGTCTCCCCTTATATCGCTTGTCTGAAAATTGAGCCATGGAGGTGAAAATCCCATTATCTTTTCATTACATTTTTCACAGACTTTTTGAAGTCCCTCATATATGCACTCAACTGATGTCTGGTAGTTCAGATCCAGACTGAGCAAAGTGGGGAGGGGGCAGAAAGAGAAAGTGTAGGCCTTCCAGGCAAGCCTCATGTCTTCAGTGACTCTGTTTCCCTGACTGCACAGAACGTCCCTTTCTTTGCCTGCAGGAGGCCAGGGGCTAGGTAAGGCCATGTTTGGAGACTGCAGCACTGGGAACCACAGGCGCTATTGTTGGCACGAGCCTCCGGCCACAGAAGATAAATGGGGAAAGGAAGGGAAAAAAGTCCTGGGGTCCCTCCCCCACTGCGCCCTTATGGAACTGTCTACAACATGAATGAGACCTTCTGAACTAGTGTGGGTGTGGGGGCAGAATGATTTCTTCCCTAAATTCCCAGCCACCACAAGCCCCAAACATTCTCAGAAGCGGGAGGAGGGGGGAAGAAGTATCAACAACCCAAACATAACAAAAGCACCACCCATTTCTGAACAGGAAAACAACCAGAATGAGAGGTCACCCTCAGACACGTGAACACCTGTGGTTTAGTGGTTCTGAATGTGTGTGTACACATATAAATATAGCACCTGCAGGGCTGTGGCTATTCTGCAGAGGCAGCAGTGAATGGGGGCAGGTACCATTCTTAGAACAGAGAGGTGAAGCTGGTGAGGTTAACTTCTCCCGAAAGATTCCTGATCCCTACTCGGTCCCATTTTCTGTATCCACAGGTTTCAAAAAGTGGCCAAAACAACTCCGTGTTCACCTTGTATGAACTAACCAATGGGGAAGACACAGAAGATGAGGGTAACGCTTTTCCCTTACCCCCTCAGTTTTGTCACCTGAATCCTCTTTCTACTTTTGGTTTAATTGGCATTCAGACTACTTCTTTCTTTGCTTCTGAATTTTGAGTACTACAGGCCCTTAACTCTTGTCCAAGGATTCCATAAACTTCCTGAATTCACATGAAAAAACACAGACATCTTTTTTGTGTGAATGTGCATAGACTTTTCTCGGGATGGAGTCCATATTCTAAGATTGTTACAGGTATCTAACAGTCTTAGAACATGACACATGGAAAGTTAAGAACTGCTCATGTACATGAGGAATGAGAAGGCAGGGTGGGGGGATTGCCTAAAATCTCATTCCTTGCTGACTCAGGCTTTCTTTTACCCTTTATTCTTATAGAAGGCTCATGATTTGTAGGTGTCAGCTAAAGGGATTGGGCCAACACCCCCAGCCCATTTAAATACTTTGGTTTCTGGCCAGGCAAGGATTTGTATAGTGTTTGATTTTTGCATTAGTATAAACACTCTCTTAGCTCTTCTCTCTCTGACTCCATATTCTGATCCCCAGGATCATGAAAAGTTTTCATCTTAGCTAGGGTAACAGGGGCACCTCCCCTGGCTGCCCCAGCAGAGTTTACAGTTCTTGGCTGTTACCCCCTACCTTGCAGGCCTCTGCTTGCTACTCCCACTACCACCCCCATGACTTCAGCACTGCAGCCTCGCCCAGCCCACCACTCAGGCTGGGCAAAGCTGGAGGCTCTCTCAGAAAGTAAGCTCCCTGATTCCAGAGCTGGGCCCTGCAGGGGGGTGAGCTGTGCATGCCTGTTGGGGCTTGTCTCCTGCTTCTCACATCTCCCTGCAGTATCTTGCCATATCTCCAGGTACTCAGCTGGCCGTGGACTCCCATTGGCTCCCAACCCTGTCCCTTTTTTCTAGGAAATGGCAGATACCTATGTTGGCCCTTACTAGTCTGGGATACTGGCTAGTCTTTATGTTAGGACAGATATAGGTATGTGCCTAGGGTTCATATCCAGTGATAAGAGCCTTGACTTTCCCTAGGTTTGATTGTCAGGGTTCTTATGTTTGTGGTCAGCTGGCAATTGTGCATCAAATACTAATGACAAGGGCAGGGGGAGAGCATGGGGTCTGAGAACTAGGGAGGTGGAACTAAGCATGAACACTCATTTCATGCTGACTTGGACTTTCTTCCAACCCTCACTCTTAGAAGGTGTGAGTTGTGGCCATAGCACAGTATAGATGCTTCAAGAGTACCTGGCCTCTGGAGATCTCAGATTTCAGCTACACTGCTAACTTCAGAGACCCTGGGCCCCCGAGGGGCAGAGTGTCCCTGACTTCCCCCCCCATCTCTCCATGTCTAGAATTCCATGGGCTGGATGAGGCAACCCTACTTCGCGCCCTGCAGGCCTTACAGCAGGAACACAAGGCTGAGCTCATCACCGTCAGCGATGGCCGAGGTGTCAAGTTCTTCTAGCAGAGAGACCTGTCTCCGTTTGCTTTGTAACTCCCACCCTTCCAGGGCTTTCAAAAGGAGATGGACCCAGTGCCCCCACAGACTGGGTCTGTGACTCCACCAGACTCAAAAGGGCTCTAGTCCTGAAGGCTGGGACTCAGGATGGGTTTCCTATTGACCCTATCCATCTGGTGCCAGGGAGAAAAGATGTGCTTCTGGCCCCACCTCCTCTCCCATGGTAGACGTTCCTGAGCCAGGGTCTGCAGACCTCACTTTCCATGTGCTCACATACATACACACAGGCCTATGCCAGCTTCTGTTTCCTCCCCCTCCATTCCTTCAGCTGCCCTGGCTTCCCCTCTCAGGCTGGTGCTGGATCCTTCCTAGGGGGTGGGGACGTCGCCCTGGCTGCAGGCAGCTTTCCAGGCAATATCAAGATGGCCCAAGAAGGGGCCTGACAAGTGGGAGGCAGGCTAGACACTGATATTAAAAATCTCAACTCCTACACTCTGCCTCCAATTACTCCTGGATTACGGATGGGAAGACCTGTGAAGCAGTACCACCTGAGTGAATGCCCCAGCCAAGGAAAGGGGAGAGAAGACCCACGACCGACTTTGGTTCATTATGAAAAGGTTCTCCAGAGCCCACTGGCTCCACTGAGCCTGTGGTTTACATCTGTTTGGTGGGCTGTGTGGGGGAGTGCTGATGGAACACAGCTTGGGGACAGAAGGTGGAATAGGAATAACTTAAAACTTGCCTATCACCCCCATCAAAGCCCCTTCTCTCTACCCATCAGATTTGGGTGCGGTAGTTATGGTCAAGGGGAGCAGAAAGGGGGTAAACCGGATGTGGACTTTGGTTTATTGAAGACTTTGGCAAACAGAGAGGGAGGAAGGAGAGAGCCCACAGAGCGAAAAAAACAGCCAATTTGGCCAAAGTTAGGCAGCGGTCAAGGAGGGAGGGAGCTGGAAAAGACAGGTGACCCGGTTCTGGCGTTGGGGTCAAGGAGTGTCCGGAGACGCACACGCGCCCCTGTGCAGCCTGGGGGAGCAGTGACGTCGGGAAAAAACAGAACCACTGACCCCTGTTTGGTCGGCCTAGGGCTCCGGTCGATTAGGAGGAGCTACCTTATCTGGGGTTCGCAGGCGGGTAGTAGCCTCCCCCTAAGCTCCCCTCCCCCAGACAAGGCTGAAGAGCCGCGGTCAGGTTTCCTTTCCCTGTCCCAAGCGTCCCGCCTTCCAACGCACAAACAGGTTTGCGCACTCAAAGTGCGGGAGGCCACCACTCCCTTACCCAGCTCTCGCCTCGGAGAGGGACCGAAGGCAGTGAGGCGGGGAAGAACCGGGGTGGGGCGTCTGCTGAGGTGAGGGGCTGCGCCCGCCTCCAGCTCCAGCTGGAGAGCTAGAGGCGCAGGGCTTCAGGGGGCGGGGCCTCAGGCTGGTGAGCCGGGGACAGGGGCCCCAGCAGCTCTACCCGAGCGCTGCGCGCCCCGCCTGTCAGGCCACCTCCTTACCGCCTTGCGGCGCCGGGCCCTTCTCCATGCTGGCCCCGCCAGCCCCAGAGACCGCGGTCTCCATGTCCCAGACAGAGGCCGACCTGGCCCTGCGGCCCCCACTGCCTCTCGCCGCCCCAGGGCCGCCCCGCCTCGGGTCCCTTCCTCGCCGAGCACGGCGCTTCTCCGGGAAGACCGAATCTCGGCCACGCTCTTCCCGCTTCAACCGCCGCAGCTCAGTCGACTTGGGACTGCTGAGCTCTTGGTCCCAGGCAGCCTCACCCGTTTCGGAGCCCCCAGATCCTCCAGACTCCTCTAGTCCCTGTCCCTCGAGGAACCCACTGCCCAACTCCGAAGAGCCCCCCGAGGGCACGTGGACCGTGGAAGCCCAGGTGAAGCCTACAGACTCTGCGCATTCCGAACTCACAGGCTCCGCAGAAGTCCCAGGGTCTGGGGAGCCGCCAAGGATTCCCGAAACCACAGCGCGAGCGAGGCGGCAGGAGCTGGAGGAGAAGGAGGACACGGAGACACAGGCTGTGGCAACGTCCCCGGACGGCCGATATCTCAAGTTTGACATCGAGATTGGACGTGGCTCTTTCAAGACGGTGTATCGAGGGCTGGACACGGACACCACGGTGGAGGTGGCCTGGTGTGAGCTGCAGGTGCGGCTGGGTGCACCTAGGGATGGGATCTTTTGCAAGTCTTGGGATGGGAAACCCGGGGACAGAAGCAAGGGAGACATGTATTTTTCCACTCAAATATACAGACTTCCCTGTTCCCCTTGCTTTGATGATCCTGAGCCTGGCTGCCTCTGGGCTGCAGAAGGAGAAACTGAGGCAGGTGGTGTGCCGTAGCTCCCCCATGGACATGGACATCCCCACTTTAAAGTCTCCTGGACTTTGAGAGGTGGGGTGAAAGGATGAGAAACTGGGTGGGGAAGCCAGCTCAGGACTGGGCGCCTGACCTCACCAATTCTCTTGTAGTAGCACCCACTATCTCTTCCTCTCCCCTTTCTCTAAGTCCTGACACCCTCAGTGTGACCCTGGTCCTGCCCACTCCCTCAGGTCTTTACAAATCCGGAGGTTGTGAGGAGCGGTACTTGGGGCAGTGTCCTCTCCACCTCTTCAAGATTTAGGGGACTTGTGGCGAGATGGGTCCTTCTTAGAACCAACCCTTCTGGGACAGTCAGACTTTGGGAGAGGGTGGGGACAAGGAGCCTGGCCGGAATCCAGTCTGCTCCTCATCCCATTGCCTACCTAGGCTCTCCCCTCTCAAGGTGGGTGCTGAGCCTTATAGGATTTTGGGAGATGTTGGTCTGCAGGACCCTCCTCCCATGGCTTTCGCTCACCTACGGATGGAAAGAACCAAGAAAGTTCTGCTTGGGATTGGAGGATGCAGCTAGGGGAAGGGTCCCTCCCCTCAGGCCCTGGCACAGGGCTTGCCCCTTGCTCCTGCCAGTGCCACACCCGGACTTCAGGCCAGGGCAAGAGAGACAGCCATGGGGTGGGGGTGGGGGTGAAGCAGTCTCCTGGCACCTAGTACTGGATCTTTTCTCTTTATACCGCAGTACTCCCTCCTCCTGTCTGGATCTAGCAGTGCCCAAGTTCTAGGACCAACCCCCTTTCAGGCCCCAATTCCCTGCCCCTAGCCTGCCCGCCTGCTGCCGGCTTGTTGTCTGCCTGATGCCAGCCCCCGGGCGCCCCCTCCCGCCCCAAGGCAGTCCGGGCCGCTACAAAGGCGCTATTGAACTCGGGGCTCCCTGACCCGGTCTATAAAGACGCTTGTGTCCGGCGGGGGTCCAGGGTAGGCGTGTCCTTGCACCGCCGGACGAGCTGAACCGGAGTTTCGGGTCTGTACTAGTTGAGCTAGGAATCCCACTGACAGCTCCGTCTGCTCTCATCCTCACCTCCCCTCATCCCTGCCTTTGTGCCCCAACTCCTCTCCGCGGGGGTCCTGTGCCGGAGGTGACTTCCTGCCCTATCCCACAGACTCGGAAACTCTCTCGGGCAGAACGGCAGCGCTTCTCGGAGGAGGTGGAGATGCTCAAGGGGCTGCAGCACCCCAACATTGTTCGCTTCTATGACTCGTGGAAGTCGGTGCTGAGGGGCCAGGTTTGCATCGTGCTGGTCACCGAACTCATGACCTCGGGCACGCTCAAGACGTGAGCTCTGCGCCTGCCAAGGGGAGGGCTGGGAAAGCGTCCCGCTACTTCCTAACTTTTCCCAGGTTCCTCAAATTCCACGCATCCAGGTCCAAACCCGGTTCACCATCTTCCACTCACTCCTCCTGTGCCCCTGCCTCAGTGAACGGTAACTTCCACCCAGCACTTCACAAAAATCCTGGGCGTCTTGCCTGATTACTCTGCATCCTCCCATCCTCAGCCCCTCTACCCCCATCCCGTCTCACCGAGTTATCCTGGAGCCTTGTTGTTAAGTGCGGTAGAGTTGAACAGCTGGTGGGTGGTGGTGTTGTTCCTAAAGACCCTGTTGCTTCTTTACACCCTACAAGATGTCTTATCTTCCTGGAAGACTGGGACATCCTTCTCAATTCCAAATTTGACTTCCTCACTCCTTTAAAACCAGCTCAAGGCCCTTCCCATTAGCCAATTTACTCATTTTCACCCCAACTTCCAGACAAACCAAATTCCAGCTTCCCCCCCCCTCCCCCGTCTTAGTGCCTTTGAACTAGGTATCTCGTCTGCCTGGAAAGTCTCCATCCCTTTCACCCTTAAACTCCTACTTAAGACGCAACACAAAAGTTATTTCCTCTGTAAATCGCTCCCCCGCCCCTTCGCACACTGGGCACTTAGTCATTCCTTCTGCACTCCGAAGCACGTTGGCCGTGACCCTATCTGCAAATTTACAAACTCACCGAAGATGCGGAGGCGGCGGCAGCGCGGGGCGGCGGGAGTGGGAATCCAGGGAGGGGTGTTAGTAAGGGTCCCTCCCCCGCGTAAATGTACTGACCCTACCTATACGCCCTCCCCCAGGTACCTGAGGCGGTTCCGTGAAATGAAGCCACGAGTCCTTCAGCGCTGGAGTCGTCAAATCCTGCGGGGGCTTCATTTCCTACATTCCCGAGTTCCCCCCATCTTGCACCGGGATCTCAAGTGCGACAATGTTTTTATCACGGGCCCTTCAGGCTCGGTCAAGATTGGGGATCTGGGCCTAGCTACACTCAAGCGCGCCTCCTTTGCCAAGAGTGTCATCGGTGGGTTCTCTAGGAGGTTCCTGGCCATACCTACCTTCCTCTCGCTAGAGGAGAGCCTGGCGGGGAGGCGGGGGGGTCCCACCTTCACAGATCCTTTGCAGATCCAAGGAGTTGGGAGACCCTGGGGAAGCAGAGGAGAGCTATGACCTCCTACACACACACACACACACACACACACACACACACACACACACACACACAGTGTCCTTCCCAAGAGGAAGGGCAGACCAGAGGGAGATTCTGCATCCTTATCTCTCCTGTGAACCCTACAGGGACCCCGGAGTTCATGGCCCCCGAGATGTACGAGGAAAAGTACGATGAGGCAGTCGACGTGTATGCGTTTGGCATGTGTATGTTGGAGATGGCTACCTCGGAGTACCCGTATTCGGAGTGCCAGAATGCCGCGCAAATCTACCGCAAGGTCACTTCGGTGAGAAGGGACGGGAGGTGGAATTACACACACCCCTCCCATTCTTCTGCCCCATTAGTCCTTCCCCATAATGAAATGCTTTTTCATTCATGAAAACAGGCTAGACACAAAGATGCCCTGTTGAACTCTGAAGGATATTAGATGCACACACGCCCCCCTCCAGTACCAAACCATTTAGAATCAGGATATGTGTAGTGTTCCCTACAGTTTACAAACGGTTTCCCAGCCAATAGCTCATCTGACCTTTTCAGCTGTCCCGCAAGGTGAGCAGGGCCAATGTTATGCTCTAGGTTTGATACAAGGAGAAAATCCTGGTCAGCGGAGCGTCATTCAAGGTCACACCGCCAATACCTAAAGGGATTGGGATTTGAAATCCAATCTCCTAGTAATGGTCACTGAGCTTTTCCCAGTACAGGTGCTGGGGTTGCGGGGTTGTCTAGTTGAGAAGTGGGGTGTATAGGAATGCTGGTTTCAAGCAGCCCTACTCCCCTAGGGCACAAAGCCGAACAGCTTCTACAAGGTGAAGATGCCAGAAGTGAAGGAGATCATTGAAGGCTGCATCCGCACGGATAAGAATGAGAGGTGGGGTGGAAGGGACTGAAGGGGAGTGGGTAAGCCCCCCTACACACACAGCCTACATCCCCGCGGGCCGCTACAGGATGTGGGCTCACAACTGCGCGGCCCTCAGGTTTACCATTCAGGACCTCCTGGCTCACGCCTTCTTCCGAGAGGAGCGCGGCGTGCACGTGGAACTGGCAGAGGAGGACGACGGCGAGAAGCCGGGCCTCAAGCTCTGGCTGCGGATGGAGGATGCGCGGCGCGGGGGGCGGCCGAGGGACAACCAGGCCATTGAATTTCTATTTCAGCTGGGCCGGGACGCGGCCGAGGAGGTGGCTCAGGAGATGGTGAGAGGGGGCAGACCCTGGAAATGAGAGGGATAGGGCACGTCGGCCCCTACCAGAGGGGGACAGTGCAGCAGGGAGATGGGCCCTACCCACTTCTCAGCATCTGCTGCAGCTGTCTCAGGCATTTGCACCCAGTGTTTCCTACACCTTGAAGATTTCCTTTTCCAGGACAAGCTCTGAGTCCCCCAACCTTACCGCTGCTTTTTCTTCTTCTGATCTGTTTACTGGAATACCCTTCCCTCCCATCCATTTATTTTTCTCTTTCACCTTGTTCTTTATCCTTCTCCATGCCCAGAACCTCTCATTTCAGGGAGGCTTTCCCACAAGAGTCAAAATGAAATGTTTCTTTCCACTCCAGCCAGTCTCCCATTACAGCCTCTCATTAAGTCTCTGTCTTATACCACCTAAATGCCTCCTTTCTCCTCCACTGCAACTTAAACTCTTTGAGGGCAGAGACTGTGTTTTCCTAATTAATCTATAACTGGCAGTGCTTGATGCAAAGTTTGTTGTTGTTGTTAAGTGCCTTTGAGTAGGTTCCGACTCACAGCCACCCTTACAGGGTTTCCGAGGAGCAGTTGGTGAGTTTGAACCTAGGAGCTCATTAATTGCCCTCATAGGTACTTGGCTTACAACACTGTCACTACATTTGATTGTTGTTACCAACCTGCACTAAGGATAAGTTGATGCCCGTTTATTGACAAAGAAACAAAGCTCAGAGAGGTTGACTAAGCAAGTAAGTGGCAGGGCTGTATTTAAAGTCAGGTCTTTCAGATTACCAGTCAGATCACCCTGACCCACCTCCTTCCTACAACCAGTAGAGTTCATTACTGAAATTAATCAGGAGGGATGAATTGTAGATGGTGGGCCAAGGGAGGCTAGAAGATGGGGTGGAGGGCAAAGACTTGGGGGCCAGTTTAGGAAGATCTGAAGAAGGAGGGGAGGGAGTACAGGATTCTCCATAGAAAAAATGGCAACTGAAAGGGTGGAGATCATCTACAGTGGATCCACCTAATATGGCATCAGAACAGATCTTCAAATTCCCTGTTGTCAGGTTGATTTCAACTCAGAGTGACCCTAAAGGGCAGAGTAGGAGTGCTCCATGTGGTTTCTGAGGCTGTCATCTTGACAGAGGCTGACGACCTTAGCTTTCTAGTGGGTTCAAACCACTGACCTTTAGGCTAGCAGCCAAGTGCATAACCCACTGAGCTACCAGGGCTCCTCCAGCTTGCCATAGTGCAGATCAACCAGACCTGAAATCAAATCCTCCAGGGATTCTTGACTTTAGCCCTATTGACATTTTGGGTGGGGTCATTTTTTTGCTTGGGGCATGTTCTGTGCATTTTAGACCTCTACTCACTAGATGTTCGTAGTACCTGTCTGCCCCACCCACCCCAGTTATGACAACTAAAGATGTTTTTGTTGTTGTTATTAAGTGCTGTTGACTCATAGAGACCCTATATAGGGTTTCCAAGGAGGGACTGGTGAATTTGAACTGCCAACCTTGCGGTTCAAACTGACCTTTCGGTCCAGTGCTTTAATCCCACGTCGCCACACCAGAACTCCAAAAATGTCTCTAGATATTGTCAAATGTTTCTTAGGGATCAAAAAGCCCATCTCTTCTCCTCATTTACCGTGCAACCATGAGAACTGCTGACTTACTGTATCACCCATGAGCAGGTCACTCCCTCCCTGTGTATATCTCAAAAATGGTGCTGATAAGACCTGCCTCAGAAGGTTATTTGGAGAGTTTAACAATAATGACAATGTAAGGACTTGCCATGGATAATTAGTCAATGTTGGTTCCCTTCCTAGAAATCCCAAGGAGGTATCCTGATGAATCTTTGAGGGAAGTCCCAATTTATACTCCTCAAACCCCTCCCTTCAACTCTAGGTGGCTTTGGGCTTAGTTTGTGAAGCTGATTACCAGCCAGTGGCCCGTGCAGTACGTGAGCGGGTTGCTGCCATCCAGCGAAAACGCGAGAAACTTCGTAAAGCTCGAGAGTTGGAAGCCCTCCCACCCCCAACAGGACCCCCACCAGCAACTGTCCCCATGGTTCCTGGGCCCCCCAGTGCCTTCCCCCCTGAGCCTGAGGAGCCTGAGGCAGACCAGCACCAGCCCTTCCTCCTCCGCCATGCTAGCTACTCGTCTACCACCTGTAAGTCACCCTTGTCCTCTACCCTCAACCCAGAAGTTCATCCCAGCAGTACTGCCACTAGCCTTCTGCCACTAGCCATGAAGCTCCTTCTGGGAAAAACCCTCCTACCGCTCAGGCAGGCCCCCTCCTGTACTCCCCTTTATTGCCCCTTTTTTCAATCCCCTCCTTTCCCCACCAGCGGATTGTGAGACTGATGGCTACCTGAGTTCCTCTGGCTTCCTGGATGCTTCAGATCCCGCCATTCAGTCTCCTGGAGGGGTACCATCCAGTCCTGCTGAGGCTCATCTCCGCCTGCCCTCGGTGAGAGAGGGGGTTCCATGGGGGGCCGCCAGTCATTCCAAGTCTAGGCCTTTTCGACTTCCTTGCAAAACCCAATTACATGGATGACCTGCCCCCCATATCCCTGATAATTCACCACTCTTGTCCTTACCTTCCCCAATTCTATCTCCATAGTACTCAGCACCCTTGTCCCGGTCTCCCTGGATCTCACCAGTTCTCCCCTAGCCTCATGAACCCTGATCCTGTTTTAGGCTTTTGCTCTGTCCATTCCACGCTCTGGTCCTGGCAGTGACTTTGCCCAAGGGGACAGGTATGTTCTCTTGTGAGTTGGGGAGCTAAGTATGGAGGTTTCTGGACCCAGTGTCCACTCGGATACTACCCATATTTCATTTCTCTTTTCCAGCTATGCATCCGATGCAGCATCAGGCCTTAGTGATATGGGAGAAGGAATGGGACGGATGAAGAGACCCCCAGGGAGGAATCTCCGGCGCAGACCCCGATCCCGGCTGCGGGTCACTAGTGTAAGGAAAAGGGACAAGAGATGAGATGAGGAAGAACCTGAAAGGTTCAGGAGGAAACTTTTAGGGTGGTGGGGTAGGTCAGCTGGGAAAGGGAAGGAGCAATGTATGATATGGGTACCCAAGAGGTAATCACTTCTAATACCAGAATTTGAGGATAGAGTCTGTTTCTCTTTAATCCCAGTCTGACTACTGTCACTTGGCAAGGGTGAGGTGGGGACAGAAGCTGAGGACAGAGGGCTTAACCTCCCCACCTTATCTGACTTTGAATCTGAAGGTCTCAGACCAGAATGACAGAGTGGTTGAGTGCCAGCTACAGACACATAACAGCAAGATGGTGACCTTTCGGTTTGATCTGGATGGGGACAGCCCGGAGGAGATCGCAGCTGCCATGGTGAGGAGGATAGAGAGATGAGAACAGTGTTTGGGTCTGGAACAAAAGACCTCTTGCAGATGCCCCCTAGTATTGAAACTCCTCCTCTCCCCACAAGCCAGACAGCAGGGCTATTGAAGCACTGGTTGGCTCTCAACACAGTGACATTGAGAAAGCCCTGTCCTTCTTGTTGGGGGAGATTTCTGGTTATCCAGTGAGGTCTGGCTGTTCAATTGGCAATTTGGGACTAAGACAGAATGTACACAGCGCTATGTGTTAAACGTGTGCTAGATGTGCAGTACTGTGTCTTTAAGAAAAGGATGGACTGGGGCAGCAAAACAAAGGCATGGGATACAGGTGGGCAAGAATGGCAGTGGACAGGTCATATCTTTGTGTGTGTGCATGTGTGCCCTTGAGCCAAATATTCTAGGACAGAGTAGAACTTCCCCTTAGGGTTTCCAATCTTTCTATGTATGTGTGATTGGGGTGAAAGTTCACAGAGAAAGTTGTTTTTTTCATTCAACCATTCATACAGATTGTTTTCTGACATTGATTGCAATCCCCACAATGTAACAGCACTCTTCCCACTTCCTCCCTGTGTTTACCATTTCCCTTTGTCTTCTTTCCTGTCCCTTCCTGCCTTCTGATCATTATCCCTGAGCAAATGCTGCCTGTTTGATCTCATATGGTGGATTGTTCTAATGAGTGCGCACCTCTCTGGTGTTATTATTCACGTATAGACCTGTTTATCTTTTTGGCTGAAAGTTGAGTCACTGAGGAGAGTTCAATTCTAGGCTGGAAGGGTGTCGAGAGGCCATAATCTTGAGGATTCAAGCAGTCTCTATCAGACCAGGAAGCCTGGTCATTTTTATTATTTTGAGCTTTGTTCCACATTTTTCTCCCACTCTATCCAGGATAGCTAGGTACTATCTAGTTCTTCTGATCTCAGAGTTATGGATGTTGGGGTACATGTGGTCTATTAGTCCTTTAGCTTGCTTCCTTTGGTCATTGGCTTCCTTTACTCTTTTTTACTCTGGACTGACAGTTGCACCTTAGATGGAAGACAGCTTATGTTGCAGAAGCATAGCATAAGCAAAGACTTGATTATTGGGAAAGACTTGGAATATGGGGCTGGGAGGGATTCATAGCACTTTCAGCTCTCCTCCAGTCCTCACTATTTGACGAGTGTGCCATATCCTTTCACCACTCAAGGCCCTAGGCTCTTCTCTCTGCCCAGACTGCCCTTCTCTTCCTGAAGAGCAGTGTGGAACAAAAGAAAGCGTGGACTTTCACATAAGACCTGCATTCAGATTTTAACTCTGTTATTTACTAACTCAGTGACCTTGGGCAAATTCTTAATCCCTGTGTATCTCCATTGCTCATCAGTAAAGTGCAGGTGCTAATACTTATTTTAGCACCAGAACAGTGTCAGATATACTGCTGGAAGATGAGCTCCTCAGGTTGGAAGGCACTCAAAATACTCAGAGTAGAGTTGACCTTGATGATGCAAATGGAGTAAAGCTTTCAGGATCTTCATTTGCAGATGAGGCACAACTCAAAATGAGGAGAAACAGTTATAAACATCCATAATAATCAGAACATGGAATGTACGAAGTATGAATCTAGGAAAATTGGAAGTTGTCAAAAATGAAATGGAACACATAAATATCGATATCTTAGGCAGTAGTGAGCTGAAATGTACTAGTATTGGCCATTTTGAATATGATGACCACATGGTTTACTATGCCAGAAGTGACAGATTGAAGAGGAATGGTGTTGCATTCATTGTCAAAAAGAACAAATCCAGATCAGTCACGAGGCACAATGCTGTCTGTGGTAGGATAATATCCATGCACCTACAGGGAAGGTCAGCAGTTCGAAACTACCAGCGGTTCTGTGGGAGAAAGATGAGGCGTTCTGCTCCCGTAAAGATTTACAGCCTCA